CCATCTCCCCAGCTTTTTACCTGGGTGCTGGAGATTGGTTGCAGGTCTTCATGCATGTGTGGCCAGCACTTTCCCAACTGAGCTATCTTAACATCCTCAAGAAGGTTTTATTTTTTCTCCCCCTTTTTCTGTTTTGATATAGGGCATCATGTATTTCAGGCTAGCCTTAAAGTTGCAACCTAGTAGGCATGAGCCTGGACATTGTTATTCTCCTGCTGACTCCCAAATGCTGGAGTTACAATTATGTGCAGCCACACCTGGGTCCCAACAAGAATTCTGAGTGTAACTGGACCAGCAAACTGGAAACATAGGCAGCCAGGCCAGAAGCATGAAGCGCAGCTTGGGTAAAGTTAGGCACCTCTCCGTGCTGACCTGGTAAGTGGATATGGTGGGTGTAGTGGGGGAGGGGCGGGAGGCCTCACTGCAACCATCTGGGGAGTTTTGCACAAAGGAAAACTGGGATGGTATTTCTACAAGAAATGGAAGCTGAGCAGCTAGAAAATAACAGATGTTCACTCTCTATCGCATTGCTGGGTGAACAGATAACAGTAATAGCTTACATTTATTAAATGCTTATTAGGTATCTGGCACTGCTCTAAGTACTTTCTGTATATTAATTTCTTTTAATCCTCTCAATTTAGGAGTAGATGCAGTTATTTTCCTGTGTTACGCAGGAGGAAGCCGAGGCTTGAAGTGGCTACTCTGTCTGTAGTCATGCAAATATAAACAACAGGAGAGCCCAGCTACACCAGGCTTGATTGCTATTGCCCCTGACCACTAGTTTGCATAGATAAATGGCCCCTGATTTAGGACGGTTGGATTTGTGATATATTGACTAGATAGGAGAGCAACTAGCAGTCAGTAGAAACCATACTTCAACTTTTGAACTTCGAATTGTGATCTTTTCTGTGAGGAGTGATTTGTCTGTGTGGTACACAGTGACGTGGTGGCCAGAGGACTTAAGTGGCCAGCAGGTCACAAGGAGAAACATGTGCTGCTACTAAAATGCATTCAGTGTTTCTTCTGTGCCTTACAGGATTTTCTTCTGCTCCCCTGTCTTCATAGTCTTTCTTTCTCCTCCTACTCCTTTCATTTTGTAAGACAAATTGTTGATACCAGCTAAGATCATCTGGGCAGAGGGAAATTAACTGGGGAAGTGCCTCCATAAGATTGGCCTGTAGGCAAATCTGTGAGGGTATTTTCTTGATTAATGATTGGTGTTTTAGGGCCCAGCTGACCTTGGGAAGGGCCACCCCTGGGCTTGTGGGCCTGGACTGTACAAAAAAAAAAAAAAAAATTGACGAGCTGAGCACTGTTAGCAGATCTCTGTGAGTCTGAGGTCTAAATAGCTAGTTTCAGGACAGCCAGGGCTATTACACAGAGAAACTCCACCTTAAAAAAGAAAAAAGGAGCTGAGCAAGCTGTGGGGAGCAAGCCGGTGAGCAGCACTCCTCCATGGACCTCCATGGTCCTGCCTCCAGATTGCTGTCTTGGTGTCCCACCTCTAGAACCAATGGACTGTGGTTTGTACGCTAAATAAACCATTTTGGACGGTGATTTATCACAGCAACACAAACCACACTGAGACAGGGCTTCACTTTATAGTCCAGGCCAGTCTTGAATTTGTGATCCTCTTGCCTTAGGTACTGTGATAACAGGTATGGACACGGCAGCAAATCAGGCTTTTTTTTTTTTTTAATTTATGATGGTTTTATTGGGCTGTAAGACATCATATGGCAAGGGACATTGGTACTCCCACTAGGTCATACAACTATGGTAGGCAGGATTCTAATGTGGTCTCCAAGATTCCCACCCTCTGTTATGTAATACCCTGTTCATGAGAGACTTTCCAAGTGACTGGAGAGTTAGCCCCTGGACCTCGATCGGACTGTAGTGTAGTACAAAACTATTCTACAACAATCACTGGGATAAGCACTTGAAGAAAGACGTTCCCGAGATTCAGAGGGGCTGTAAATGTACGTTTGGCCAGTAAGACTCAAGATTGCAGTCCTCCAACCCTGGGAGCAGAGCTCTGTGGTGATGAGGAGATTGGAAGGGAGCTCTCCAGCTCCACAGTCATCCTAGTTTACTCCTTAGGTCCAGCCCCAGGAAACACCTGAGTTCAGCCACCAACCCCCCCCCCCCCTTTCCTCAACTGTGAGAAAATAAGTGTGTAAGCTTCTGTTGCCCATCTGGGAGGAACCTGTTGTCAGTGGCAGTGGCTTTTCTTCATAGCTTTTAACTAGTCAGCATAGTGCCAGGCTCCTTCCTCTAACTCTGCTCACCCCCCACCCCTATCACCTGAAAGGGATAGTAGGCAATCACCAGGAGGAAACCCAGTAGCTGTGTCTCTAGGGCCTTTTTTGAGCCACTGCAACTTGAAATAGGGGTTGTGTGTTTACTTTGCATTTGATTATAGAATGACAATGAAGGCACATTTGTGTATAATAGGCCAGTGATTTTTGTTGTAAAGTTAAATTAATTTTTATTTATTTATCTATCTATTTATTTATTTATTTATTTATCTATCTATCTATTTATTTATTTATTTATTTTTGAGACAAGGTCTTGCTAGGCTAGCCTTGACATTATGATTCTCCTGCCTCAGCTTCCTGAGTGCTGGGATTACAGGCTTGTGTTAATGTGGTTAATGTGTCTGGCTAAAACATTTAGATTTGGGGGGTGGGGACTAATGGATCTTGAAGTGTGCTTTCAATATCAATTTTTGGTAAACTTCAGCCTGGGATTCCAGAACAGACACCAGCCCAGACAAACCAAAAATCATGTAAAAATGTTAACACAGGGGTCCCATGTACTGTAAATAAGGGGGGTGATCATTCACTCTCCAAGAAGAACAAGCTGGGGTGCTGAAGCCCCTTCTTCGCATTTCACACCTAACGTCTTCTCAAACCATCCCTCTTTGGACTTTCCCCAGGTGAGGGAAACGGGCTGGCCTGTCCTGTTCTCAGAATACCAGCTCCGAGTGGGTGTGCAGTCCATCTGTTGAACGAGCAGTGTACAGAAAGAATTCAGCATTGTCCATAGGGCTGCTCTCATGACGTCTGTTCCACAGATAAAGCTCAGCGGAGGTCGCTGATTCAAATCCAACCAACTGAGTGTTAAAATCGGAGCTACCTAGGAGGCAGTCATTCAGGCTAGGATCATTTTAACCTATCTCATTGGCACCGAATAACCGCCCCTCCAACAAAACTTTCCAAAGAACTGGTCATCATCAGCATTCAGGAGCGACCCCCGAGTGCCAGAAAACCAGGAAGAACCAAATTCCAAGGCAAACAGTCGCCGGGTCTCATTGCCCAGCCCAGGGAGGGTGTTCTCCGGGTTCCGCTAAATATAGAGCTGGAAGCCCTCCCCAGGAACTTCCTGGCGTTTTCTAGCTTTGCACCCCAAACGTAACTTTTCAGAGGTTTTTCTTTGGAAGTGTGGGTGCGAAACTGCTTTCCTATCCACACCGTGCTGCAGGCTCTCAGAACATCTGTATATTATTTGAAAAGCGAAAGAACATCCGGTTGGGTAGTTTGGGTGTGGGACCATGCTGCGGTGGGATGAAACAGCAAGGAGACACTTTAAAAACATGTCCACAACGTTCTCAAAGAAAGGGAGGGAAAAAAATATGAAAAGAATTACAAATAGCTAATTACGTTGGTTCAATTACAAATTTGATTAAAAGAAAAACCCGCCTCTCCCACTTTTAGCACCAACGTAGGAGGAAAAAAATAGGTTGCTGAGAAGCCCAAGCGATAAAGATCTCAGTGAGAGCCAAGGGACAAAACTCATTACAGATAAGCCTAGTCCTTGCGTTTCCCCCGGATGCCTCTCGTTGTAGGTTACTTAAGCCATGCGTCGTAGGGTGGCTGCCGGGAAACCAGTGCTGGCCCGGGGTGAGAGGCGCAGTTTATTCGCCCTCTGCCTAACCAGGCCAAGGTGCAGCCACCTTCCCCTGGATCTGAGAGTTGGTAAAACTCCGCGACAGACCTTCTAGGCTTGGGGACAGCGGGTATGGGACCGAGGCTGGATTTTGCAAGCCTGAGACCCGTCTCCCTCGCCCCATCTTCCAGCCTTAGACTAGGCCAATGGAAGCTTGGAAAAGGGGAAGGAAAAAAAAAAACAAAAAAACAAAAAAACCCAAATCTCAATGAAACCTGAGTGCAAAGGCCGCTGGGCTTTTGTCTCCTAGCCCGGGAATGCAGCAGGAGGGGACGCAGGAGGTGCACCCCGCCGGGGCACAGTCAAGGTGGTGAGGCCGTACGGAAGTCCCCTCTGCATGAAAAAGGTAGTTGCAGGCCTCCCTCTCGCCCCCAGATTGCAACGGGGCCACCCTTTCCCCCTCTCCCAAGTCCCAGATCCACCAGCGTCAGCCAGGCCAGGGATCTCTCCGAATCCACGCAGAACGCTTCGTCTTTAAGAACTCGAAAATGGAGCAAAGCCACGCTGACCCTAGAAGACAGCCGGTCTCTTCCCTGTCCTAACGGAACCAGGGTGACCAGCTCCCCTAAACCGACACCAATAGTCCTGGGCACGCCTGGAGAGGCGAGTAGTGCAAGTCCTTGCAAGCCGGAGCACAGCACGGCCTCTTTAAGAGAGTGCCGCGCGCGCCCCCGCCGGCGGCAGGCCGGGATTGCGCGCCCCCGCCGCCGCGCGCGCCCCCAGCTCGCTCGCTCGCCCGCTCGCCGGCTTTAAAGTCTCTGCCAGGATCCATGCTCACATGTTACTTCCTGTATGGAGGCATGGCCAGTTTCCAGCCCCGCGCTCTCGGTTCCTCCCCAGCCTGCGCCGGAGCCACAACTTTCAGGAGCATGGACTGAAGGCGCCCTCGCCCCGGCGCCCCTCTGAGGTCCTTTGTGTTTCCCCGCGCTGCTCCGGCCGTTTCTGTTCTGGGGGGCTCTGCGCTCCGCCCCGCCGCTTCCCTCCCTTTCCCCGCTCGCAGACATGCCTCCTTCTCTGCCGGGGCCCTGGAAGGAGCTGCCCGCCTGAAGCCCGGAGCCGCCGCGCCGCGCCGCGCACAGCCCCGCCGTCGCCCGCCGCTTGTCGGGCTGCGCCGCGCCGCCGACTCAACTTGGGGCTCTTCCGCTGCTAGCCGCCGCCACCCGCGGTCCCTGCCTGCCCCGGGCCCCGGGCTCTGCCGCCGTGCGCCCTCTCCTCGCCCTGCACCGTCGGCCGGATCGTGCCTGCGCGGAGAGCAGCCTTTCTCCTCCGACAGGATCGTCCCTAGCGTGGCTTTCCGTTCCCGGTCACTTTTTGAGGCTTTCGCGGGAGCGCTTAGCAGCTTCCCGGATTCCTGCGGGACCGGTCGCCGAGCGTGGGGGCCCGTGTGGCGGGCAAGCCGAGAGAGCCTCCCGGCTTAGCGGAGCCTTGCTCGGAAGCAAGAACTTATTCAACAAGTTTACCCCCCCTGCTTTTCTCTTTTCGATGTGCGTTTTCGGACATGCGGAGGTTACTGGAACCGTGTTGGTGGATTTTGTTCCTGAAAATCACCAGTTCTGTGCTCCATTATGTGGTGTGCTTCCCGGGTGAGTGCGGGCCGCTGATGGGACGCGGCTCCAGCCCGCGCGCGGGGTCTGCGGAGTTGTCGCCCGGGCGCGGAGCTTCGGCGCCAGTCTAGGGATCGCGGAGAGGGCGAAGGGGGGTCGGGCAACCGGGAAGGAAAGAGGGCTCTGCTTCATCGGCCCGGGCCGTGTTCTAGGAGGCTGGTGGTCGGGGAGGGCAGAAGCTGTGGCGGGCTGGGGAGGAGGATTGGGGACCCAGATCTGCTCTGACTGTGTGGCTTAGGGCAGCTGGAGTCGGCGCGGGGAAAGGCGACTTGCTTTGCCGATCGGGAGAGCCAGAGTTGCAGGATGTCTGGGGAGACTGACTGGGAAGGATGCTCTCGGTTTGAGTAGCCTGGGATGCTCCCGTTGCTCCGGCGAGGATAGAAGGAGCTCATAACGGGGGCTCACTTTGCATCCCTCTGACCCTTGGGGGCTGGGGCGGGGGTGGGGGGATTTTTGGGGATGGAAGGCGGAGGCTGGCTGCAGAGGAGTCAGGATGTGCGGAGCAGCCCGCGTTCTGGTCGCTGGGGCCGGGGCTGCCTGGTTTAAGCCTTGCTCGGGGCTGAGGTGTGGGCTACGCCTCAGTGCCGGCGCGAGGAAGCTCCCTGCACGCGGGGCCTGGGAGCTGCCGGAGGACAGTGAGCGGGGAGTTTTGGCTAGGTCGGTGCCTCTCTGGGTTCTCAGCTCCCTTCTGTCCCACTCTCCTGGGCTAGGCTGCTGGGATCCAAGCGCAGGGCACCGGTCGGCAGCTGGGTTGCTTTTGGCGTCCAGGTAGATTTTTTTTTTTTTTTTTTTTTTCTGTCTGGCGCGCCCTCTTCTACCTTCATCTTTGCCCTTTTGCAGGCTGAGTGTGCCTGCCAGAGCCAGACCCAGACCGGCTCGTTTTCTAGCCAGGTTAAGACTGGAACAATATTGGCCACTGACGACAATCCTAAATCACTGCACGTAGCGTGTGCAGCTCGGCGACCCTCCACTCCGAGCCTTCAGCCCACACCCTCCCGCCTTGGTGAGGGCAGAGGCCAGCCGCCTTCCTCTTCTCGTCTAGAGTCGGAGGCTGCAGCTCCAAGCCTCGCTCAGGCTGCCCAGCTCCTTCTCTGTGGGTGAAGGCCACGTCCTCTGTCCTGGCTCAGGGAAAGAAAGGTGTGGGAGTGGGTGCGATTTGCTTTTCTTTCCTCGATCTCCTAAGGACAGAACACCCGGGTTTTTTGTTTTTGCTTTTTTTTTTTTTTTTTTCTGCTTTCTCATCCGCCTGTTCTGGAATATTTGGAGGCGGCGGTTATTCTAATCAAGAAAAAGAAACGTGCCACAGTGTTTCCGCTTTCCCTGGTTAATAGCTGCCTCTGTTCTAGCCGCCAGAGCGCGGGGTTTTGGTGCAGCGGGTACCCCAACTCCGTTCTGCATCCAGGAACCAGGCGCAAGGACCCTCGCTGCCCCAGGGGACCCGCTCTAGGGGACCGGCAGCGAGTGGTCCCTTTGAGGGTTGGAGGGTGGTCGCGAGGGGCAGAGGCCGAAACACTGCGGGTTCTTCCTGTCCCCAGAGCTGTCAACAGAGCTCGGGGAGGGTGTGCGTGCCTACTCACTAGGAGGCCTGGCAGGTTCACCCGCTAGGGTCCTGCCTCTGTGGAAGTAGATGCTGAGGTGAATCCCCTGAGAATCTGCACTCCGCTCCCCTGGAGACCATTGACCAGCATTTGTTTTTATCACTGCCTTTGCCTAGATTCCACCCCCTCCCCCTTTGTCGGGGGACTTGCCAGCTGAGTGCGCTCGGGCGCATCCGGGGTCGAGCCCAGTAAGGGTCACTTTTTAATAGAGGCGGTGGGAGGCAGCCTTGCAAAACAGAAATTTCCAATTCTTTTCTGGCTGACCTCTCCGGGCCGTAGCCAGCGCTTCCACAGTGATTTTCTTTCCTCTGGTGTCTGAGGAGGCTTGGAACCCAGTATGGGGTTGCTAGGGATGCCTCCTTGTCGTGTCTCGGTCAGTACCAGTTTTTCTCCTTTTCCGCCTCTGCCCAGGCTACGAGGTAACTAGCTCTCACCCCCACCGGGGAGCCACAGGGAAGACAGCTTTTGGAGTCAGCCAAAGTTAAAATGTCACAGCCCTGGGAGATGCTGGCTTCAGGTTTTCCCGAGAGTGATGAGGTGCTGCTGGACCTCAGGGGGCGCCCCAGAGCTACCCGTCAAACTCTTGCCTCCGCTAGACTCAACCACCTGCACACCAAGGGGTTGGGGCGGTGGGTGGGGTGGGGGCGCACACGCCCAGGTGTCCAGGCTGGGGTCTGCGACATCTGCTGCTAGGCGGTGCCCGCAGCTCGATGCTGCCGCCCGTGGTAGGCTGGAAAACCCTTGGGGACCGTTGTTCCCCCTGGGACCCAGCACATCTTGCTGCCGGAGCTCCAGAAACGATTTATTTTTATTTTTATTTTTTTTTTAAAGCTAGGGATTTTAGCTTTCGGTTTTCAATCAGGTCCTCCTTGTGAGTTCTTAACCGAACTCTCGTGTTGGTTATTTTTTGTTTGTTTTTAGAATCCTACCAACTTCTCAGCTGCGTGATTGCCCCCAGCTCCTGTTCGGAGCTTGCTTGCTGTGGTTTAGGGAGGCCTTTGGAAGCAGCCAGGGCTTGGGTGTTTTCCAGCGGTCGGAAGCAGGGTTATTGCTCTGAACAGCGCGGCGAGTGTGGGATCCCCGCCACAGTGGTGCTACAAATAATGTCTTTGGAGTGCCGAGGGGAAGTCTTACCGACCATGACAGTGGGCACTTAGCATTTTTCTAAATCTAAGACGTTAATATGGGAAAAACATGAGGCAACATAGTGTATTCTTAGGTATTTCCTCCGAAGTCTTAACAGTTGTCAGTGTTTTTGTCTATACTACCTCAACCTCTAGGACACTGTTTTTTTTTTTTTTTTTTGTTTGTTTTTGGGGAGGTGGGGGGAGGAGGGCACAAGTCTTATCTAGCTCAGGCTGGCCTCCAGCCTGAGCTGGGCTGAGGTAGAACTTGAACCTCTGACCCCCCTGCCTTCAAGAATGCTGGGTTTGCAAGCCCAGTGTCAACGTATGATGTTAAATAAAGTTTTGAGTGTGGTTGATTTAAATATTTGCTCATTCTCCACAGACATTGAGAACTGAGTCACCTATGATAGGATGTAAAGTATATTACTTGGAAGGGTTAACTTTTGTCTCCTACACCATCTATTTTGCATTGTTTAGCTGTTCATACAGAATCATAAAAACCAATTAATTTTCTTCTTTTGGCCTGAAGAGTAATTCGCTTCGATTCTGACGTTCTGTGTGGTGCTGACATTACAGCCATCAGGTTGCTGTTGGAATACTTCAGAAGCAGGAGCCTGACTGCTTTTGGCCTGGATGTGTCAGAACTGGGTGATCCACATCTGCTGTCCAGCCAACGCTGGCTGGTGGACCAGCAGGCCTCTCTAGTTATTACATACACGGCATGGGCGTCCATCTCAGTGGCCATCCCTGGGACCTCCTTAGGCAGAGGCAGGAGTAGACTTCGGTCGTCTTCTTCCTTGAAGAAGCTGGGTGAGATCTGAAAGGCTTCTCACTCCTCCCCAAGTGTTTCTTGTGAGAAAGAAGACTTCTTTACCTTTTGACATGATTAGAGAATCAAATCTTTCACGCCCCTTTCCAGACATTACCTTTTGGTGAGGATTGCTGAACTCAGATACAAACAGGCATATAGACAAACAGGCATAAAGACAAGAAGGGAAACCTGTATCTTTCCAAATTAAAGGAAATCTCTTGGAAAAAAGAAAGGTTGGTTGACTGGAAGAAGGGGAGATTGAGTAGTAGGGCTTTGAGTAACATTGTTTACACTGAAGAAGAGATGATGTTTCTGACATGAAGTGGTCCAGGGAGTATTGTTGATTTAATGCTGTGAGAAAAAGCAAATATAGACCAGAAAAAACAAACAAACAAACAACCCCCCTCCCCCACAAAACCAAGCCACCCAAGCCACCCTTCAGATTTACCATTTCTGTTGCTCCCGAGTTCACGTGCACTTGTTGAAAGGAATGTTTCTGCCGTCTGGCGCCCTGGACTGCCTCTTCTCTGAGCTCTCATCTTGCTGCCACCTTTTAGTCACAGAAGCAGTCTGGCTTCTGCCTGAGCCTTGTCTGGGCAGGAAAGGTCATGAAGCCAAGCAGGTGGCCTCTACCACATGCCTTGTCTGGTAAGAAGGAGGCATGCTTTTACTCCTGGCAGTGTCTGTGTCTCTGTCCAGTGTTGTAACGGTAGCCTGTGGGCACCGTAATGCCAGGTGCAGATGCCAGGGGCGCGTGGACCATAGCTCTTGTGTTTATAACTTGAAGCTTATAAGAAGACCTAAGGGTAGCAAAGTTCCGTCAGCAGTGGTCATGTCCTGTGAGCCTGTGGTCTGCCTTGACTCCAGGTTGACCACTCTTGGGTGTTGAGCGGTTATCACTGGCCCTTGAATTCTGTCTCTTCCCATGTAGAGACTAAAAAGGCCTATGTTTCTAGTCACACGACAAAGTCAAGAAGGAAGTTCTCTGCTCTCAATTCTCCCCGTGAGCTTGCTCTAGGTCAAGGTAGTAGCCGTGTGCAGTAGAAGGAGGGGCTCACGGTGAAACTTGTTCTCAGGAGAGCGGGTTCTCACCAGATCTGGAGTTTGGCATTGGCTGCTGGGTCTGGCCTGCAGTAAGTGGCAAGGTCTTACACCAGTGTTGGCTACTGTAGACCTGCAGGAAGTATTGGGATTAAAGATCGCAGGCCTCCAACACTTGGGAGGCAGAGGCAGGTGGATCTCTATGGCTTTCAGTCCAGCCTGGTCTCCAAAGTGAGTTCCAGACAGCCAGGGCTACACAGAGAAACCCTGTTTCACAACAAAACAAAAAAGATAAGACAAAACAAAATGAAACAGATCTGTTCCCAGTCTCAGAATGGCAGCAACTCTGATGACTGCTGCGGACTTTATGGGAAGCAGGACGTTTTCTGTGCCCTCAGAATT